CATGTGGGACCCCCGTACTGCAAACCAACCTATCTGAGACACAGCCCTATGTATCTCTAACCATTTCTTTTTTTTTGGTTAGAATCATTGTTATTTTATCATATTTGTGTATATTCAAATGAAATTTGAACCAAATCATTATGGAGTACAGTATAACAGTATGGGTATTTTAGAAACATGGAGCTAAAGTCTTACTCATGGACCAGAGTGAGAGGCATTCGTTGGGATTCATTTCAGCTGCACCACTTTCAGATTTTTCGCAATGCATATACTATGTTCTAACCCCAGGCCAGAACACCATTCCCCACTGTCTTTCTTGTCAAGCTGGTGATTCAATGCAGTAACATAATCAAGATGAGCATTTCAGCAGTATCTTTAAGAAACAAAGCATGTTTTAGTTGGGGGCTGTCATTCCCAAATCTGAGCTCTGAATTCTTTTACAGATTGACAACCTGTTATGTCAACATGTACTTTGGAGTCTCTTATTTTAAAGGCTAAAACTAAGTGTACATATAGATTCATATATAAAATGGTGCTTTGTTCTACAAGTTTGATTTTTAAACTTGGGTGGTAGTTGAGGATTGATGATTAATTAAATCGTGAAAGAATGTCTGTCATGATCTTGGTACTGATGACTGACTGGATTACTCATTTCATTCACCTGTATAGCTCCGCCCAATTTCTCATTATAGCTCATCTCTTTCACCTACTCTAGTCTACATTTAACCTGCCTGGTTTCAGTCATCAGTAACAGATTATTAGATCCCTTGATGAGAGTCTTCTAGCGAGTAGTAGTGTTTTATGATTGCCTAATCCTGATCTGTTCTGCCTGTGGACTTCTTAGCCTGCCTGCTATGCCTGTTTACGGAACCGGGACTTCTTCCTGACACTGTCTTGGATTTCCCATTGCTACCTCTTGCCCAGACTCCTGTGAACCTACTTGACACCGGCTTTGGCTTCATCCTCTGGATTATCCTGCCTTCCTTTGTCTGCTTGGATCTTATCTCCCGCCTGTTCTTCAGTCTTCAGGTGCAGCATCCGCCGCATCTTGTCGGCAGCCGACCGGTTGGAACCAACCTCGTCCTCAGGGCACAGACTAAACTTTAAGACCGAATTAGTGACTCACACATTCGTCATCATCCTCCAGCAGATTGACATGGTCACTAACCTGTGTTTTCTTCCTGCAGGGGTTCCTGCCTTAGATGCCCTCGCTCTTCACTGCAGATTTATTGTTTTCAAATGCATGCTTTTTGAGAAATCTGACTGTCTGTCTGAATACTAGGTTCTCTGTTCTGAGATGTGACAATTTCTAAACTAAGTTATACAGGTCCAATCAGCCTTCAACTCTACCTTTGAGAATCCACCAGTGAATATTAGCTAGAATCACAAATCCACACAGAAAACACACCTTTCAACACTCAATGTCATTTATCACCTGCTTTCAAATGTTTACTGCTTTTTTTTCTTTTTTGTACACAACCCTTGCTTTGTGAACACGGGTTTCTCTTAGTACACATCTGAAATCAGTGCTGTGTATTTTTCCAAGCTGTGTCCATGTAACTCCCCCCCTGTTTGTCCAGGTTATTTATCTTGGGAGAAACTGGCGGCACTACATCCTGGCACATTAAGCTGTCGACAACTGACATGTTCATATTGTCATCTTACAGTGTGGGGTGATGCCATTTAGTCATGCTGGTTTGACGCAACCCCTTTCAAAATCAAGCTTTCAGCGTAGAAAACTGGCTTCCACTCTGTCAGGGACTGTTATAGATTTTACAGGTGGTGCTGCTTTGTGTCCACTTCCTGTGGCTGGCATGCCTCCACACACCCACGGCCTGTTTTCACAGTTTCCTCTCCCACTCCTCATCACTCCCTCACTTTCGGATGAAGGTTCAGATGACTGCTAGAACATTAGCATTGTGAAAAAGACTTTCACAGCTGCTCTACTTGTTAAATGAGTGATGGCACTTTATTCTGGCTCATGAAGCTATTAGGTAATGACAATAGTTACTGGTAAAAGTGCCTCAGAAACATATTCACACCCCTAAAACTTTAAGTTAAATGGATTTCATTGAGGTTTTATTGATAGACTAATGAAAGGTAGTGCAAACTGATTAATAGTGTGACACATTTATAACAGATAAATAAAATTTGTCTTTGAGTTAAAGATTTTACTCTACCTCCTTTGCACTAGTAGAGACATTAAATTTTTGCCTATCTTTGTTCACAAAATAGCTTACGCTTTTCACATCTTGATCCTGTCATGATCTGGCCTGATTCTTCCACTTTAATTGTGTATTTCATTCACCTGTCGCTTTCCCTCCCTGTCGTAATTATCATTTATTCGTTTCACCAGTTTCCTTTGTCTTGTATTCGGTTCAGCCCGAGCGATCCAGGCCAGATAATTATTTGTGTCCTGTTAGTCTGTATTTTCAGTTAACTCCACAGGGTTTTGCCTCGGAACAAGGGGAGGCTCAGTTTTTATATCTGTAAGCCTGGCTCCAAGGAGGAGACCAGTTTAAAGTTTCTGGCATCAAGTTCTGGTCCAACGTCCTGTCTCTGTTACCCTCAACCACTGAGCCTGCCCGTCTGCACCTGAGACCGTCTGCTTCTGTGCGTCTCCGCCTGGTCACGCTTCTGGACTCCGTGAAATACCTCCGTGCCTGGAAGCCTGGCTAATGTCTGATCTGTCTGTTCCTGTCTGATCTGTCTTCCCCTGACTCTGATCGACTTCCTGCAAGTCCTCCGGGCTGCAGCACCGGAGACACACGTTGCGTCAGTTGTCAGCCCATCGGCTGGATCGTACCCCCTTCTAGGGAGATGGACTGAACTGTTAAAGCAGGTAAGTGGCTCACTGAGATAATCATCTTCTGTCAGATGACTGTGGTCATTTACCTGTGTTTCTGCCACAACCAGAGTGTCTGAGTTTGGGCGGTGCCCTGCCCCCTATCAGTCGCAAGCTGCAGATCCACAGCAGAGTCCTTCTGTTTTGTTCTGTTATGTCTGTTTTAATACACGTTTTGAACTTTCCTACTGGCTGTCTCACCTTGAATACCGGGTCCATCTGTCCCACTTATGACAGACACAGATTTTAAATTTGGCTTATGATTTGTCAAGGCTATTCTAATGTTACTAATCTAAGATATCTGTTACTGGATCTTTAGGACTGTTTTTCTACTGGAATTTGAACCCCTGTCCAAGTATAAGATCTTTTGAAATCCCCAAAATGGTTGCTTCTGGACTACCCTGGAACATCCAGGGTTGTGATCCTTTAGTTTTCAATAAAATTGAGATTCTAATTTTAAGGATGATCCAGCTGTAAATATCTAGTATTCGTCTCCAAAGCAATCAAAAGATTTACGTACCTCATTGTTACGGTTTGCAGACATCTTACTTAGTTTTCATGCAAACATACAGGTGAGACTATTGTAGGGCTGAATGATTTTGCCAAAAATAAAAATTGCGATTATTTTCAACCAATATTGCGATTGTGATTTTATTGCCATTAATACTTTTCACTAAGCACAGCCATGCCAATGTTTTACTCCAGGGTTTAAATTTTTACATGACCTTGAAAGCCTGCTTGTCCAGAATCCAGTAATGCAGGACTTTGCTGTAACATTTGCATGAAAACGTTCTTACTTCTACTATAATGTATCGATCTAGGTTCTAGATGCAACTCTTTTTTTCCCCTTCTGTGCAACAGGATACACTCTTTAATCATATTACCACCGCCTAAGGGAGGAATTAAGTGTCTTACTCTTGTCAAATTGATTGTCTCTGCGAATTGAAAATTGCATTGTTTTAAATTGCGATTATATTGCAAATGCAATTAATTGCCGAATTGACACTTAGAAATCGGAGAGTACATGAATGCAGCACCTACTGCCTAACCTCACATGATCTCTGCCCAGACTACAGAAGGAGGGAAATGTATAACACTGCTGCAAAAGCTTATATATAACAGGTAGAGATAAGATATACAAGAAGAGGACTACAAGTATCATGGTTAGTAAAGTACAAGTTGGTGAAACACGTATAACATATCACAGAACTATAAGTAACTATAAAATAATCCTTTCCCATCAAATATTACACAGTATTTGAATAGTAACATAAAACAGCTAAAGCAAGAATGTAGCATTTATGTTAAAAGTTGCTGTATCGAGCTGCAAAACATTTGAGCCACATAGATTCAGTGTCACTTTACCAATATGAACATGCCTGTTATTGAATTTATGTTAACCATAAGCAAAACAGATTAATTAATATAGCACACTTCATGTACAAGGCAACCAGATGCTTCACAAAAAGTATAAAAAAATGAATAAATTAAAATAAATAAATAGAAATATCAGTATAACATAATTAAGCCAAGTTCATGGACGTTGCAGAGATGTTCTTCAGTTTTAGATATTTTCCCGCCTTTCTGAATGTTTAGGTATCAATTTGATTTGTTTCAGGTATGTTCTGATGTGTGACTGTAATTAAATGGCTTTTCTCACTATCTGTGTGAAAGTATTTTTTTTTCTGAAGAATTTTTACTTTTACTCACAACATTTGAATATAAATATCTCCAGTTCTTACTTTTTGAAAACTGGCTTGTTTCTTCTATAGCTATTGATAACAACCAGTCATGACAGCTGCAACAAAATGGAGGGAAAAATCAAGAGAGCAAAGATAATCTGTCCAGTTACAGCTGGAGATCAGTAATTTAATAACCCTGTTAGAGACATGGATGAGGAGCGGGGGCTGGGAAATACTGCAGATGATGGATCAGATTTTAAAATGCAATAAGTTCCCCATCTTTTTTCCCTTCTATTTGATTTTAAATGTACATGTTGATTATGCTTTAAGCTCTATTTAACTTTAAGGCAATTTGCAACTTGAATTGTGTAAACATAGCAGTGTTAAAAAGGATTCAGCTGCGTATACAGGACTTGTGGTTAGTCTATGATATCCTTTCAGAAACTTTATTTTAGAACAATAAAGGAAAAATAACCACATTTCTGTACATTTATTTATTTTCTTTACAAGAATAGTTTTTTTTAAGGTATTTTGTGTGTTTCAATGGCTCTAGCTTTGCCTGTCAGCACCTTATTTTCTCAGTTTTAAGACTTACAAAAACAAATAATCTACATTAATTATGACTAGAACGAGACTTTGCAATATTGGAGATTTAATTAATGAGAGAAAATTTAGTTGATACCTGTGTTCTTTTTTAAATCTTCAGCTGCCAGCTTTTAATAATAGTATTTACCTTTTTAATAGGTAAATACTATGCATTGCATGCATTGTTGCATGCAATGAAAAATGTTATGTTGGTCTCTGGTATGTTGAATATTTTTATTTGAGAAGTTTAAAATGTTTATTCTTATATTCTATACAAATGCAAAGATTTGCCATTTGAATAAAACTTTTTGTGCGTAAGTTGCCAATGCAGCAGCTTGCTTTGTATTTGTTAAAAGGACCGAGTGCCACTAATTGCGACAGTATGCTTGAAGGATCCTTCCATATAATAGACAATGCAGTGTCTTGCAAAGAGTGTTGATATGCACATGGAATATTCTATCTATTGCATTTTTCATTGCACTTATACTTGACAACAACCACAGATTATTTAGCCTGCACATAACACCAATCATTTTCAGGTTTGATTAATGCAAAGTGAAATAATTGTATTTAGATATCTTCCTCCTAGTATTTTGCACTTTCTGATGATCATCATGTTCTGCATATTCATGAAATGTAAAATGGACACCTGCTTTTTTGTCTTATATAAAATAATGTCTGCACCTGATTAGAGGATCAGCTTTGCAAGTCCACTCATTGTTTGCACATGTTTTTATACATGAAGATTGTTAGTACACCAGGGGGAGAGTGTTTCTGTGTTGACTAGAGGAAAATTCTGGCATCCCCTGATTACAATGCTTTTTCCTATGGGTTTATTGATTGGTTTTGTTGAATTTTAGGGACATCATAGTAATGGGGACTAAATGAAAATAGATTTAAACTTAGATTTAAATTTTTAAACATTTGAGAGATTTGAAAACGAGGGGTGTCCTCCTGATAAAGCAAATAAATTTACATTTTCAGCTTTGATTATCGATGGATACTGACATGGACTTGATATAATATCTGCATTAATCATATTTTTATTACTTATTTTATTGATTGGAATATTAGAAAAGGCTTGATCAAATTATATATTTCATATATAACAATACTTAACAACAACAGGTTTTAAAAAAGCAGACTAATTTCTTATTCACCAAAGAGTTTCATAAACTTTAAACAAAAGTGGAATAAAGGCAATGTTTCTATGAGTTTTCTAATATTAGAGATTTTAGAGGCAGGTCGATACATTCTGATATTCATTTACGTTTTATTAAAAACCACGACGAAAATAATGAATAAAAACAATGTTTTCACTTTTTTACACAATAATGTGATGCTTTTTTTTTTTTTTTTATAAAATTCTAATAGGTAAGAAAACTTTTGCTAGACATTGTAGCTGGGAACCATCATTAAAGACCAGAAAAAAGTGCATTTTTGAATAATTATTCACTTCCTTATTAGAATAAATTTTACACTGGGGGGAGAAGTTTTATTCTGACAGCAGCACAGTTTATCAGTGTATAAACAGGGGCTTCATTTGAATGGATCTCTTTAACTGATTAGGCCAAGGAGCCAACGTCTTTGAAGAACGTTGATTGCTTTAATCTGCATACAAATGACTTCTCAAAGAAAACACTGTCTGCTCACCACTGAGGCAATCGCTTGGAAGCCAGGATTACCAGTAAAATCATAATAGTACAAATATTTATTGTTAACAAAATGAATGCATTGCCCTAACTGAGCTCAATTAAATATTTGGTGGGATCCTGAGACAAATCTTCTCCATTAAATGGTGACTGACCGAGTCTATTGTTCACTGTGTTTGTTATTATTATAAAAATGTGAAGTCATCATTTCTCAAGAGAAAGAAAATTAAAGGCTTATTTTAAAAGTTGAAAGTGGAGATTGCTCTTTGTGCACATGAAGGTTTTATGTTTAGTTTTCTTTTTTTTTTTTGCAAGAAGGGAAAAACAACAGGGTTCTTACCGCTCTGGTGGGATTGCTCTGATCAATGGGGTTTTTGAAGTCTGTGCGGAGTTCATCAAAGGCAATAATCTGAAAAGAAAAAAAAAACAGCACAATGGTGTGAGAAAATGTTCCTTCGACTTTTCTGTTTCGATCCTTCCTCACTTGTAAGAATTGCCTCGTCTCAGGCAGCAGGCCGATACCATCGATGGCAGCGCCTCTCAGCATCCCACACAGCTGCGGCTACATTGTTCACATTGTAGGAACACACATGGTGATTTAGGAGTGAATGTGCATATGCAATTAGTGAAAGGATTGATCTTGCTGCCTTGTATGTTTCAGAAGCCTTTATACATAGAAACAGCCACGACAGACTGCATAGACAAATAAATGATTGGAAAATGTAATTTTAAATTCAACCTTTGATAAATAAACGTACATACAAGTATTAATATCAAATGTATGATTTTATTTGTTTTAATCTTAAAATGGAATAAATTTCATGTATCCAAAATATAAATGCAGTGATTGTTTTACATGAAAGTATTTTGCTTATTTGTTGCACAACAAAATCAAATTATTTCAGTCGTCTTTGGTGTAAGCTGTGAGCTCTCGGGATGAAAGAGAATTTATCTCTTATCTATCTGATTAGTAATTCTTTAAAGTTAATCCTTAAAGGGAAGCAACACATTTTTAAGACTTGTTAAAATACTGGAGGAGAGAAAAACTATCAGCTGTGACGTTAACGTCTAGTAAGTGATTGCATGAAGAGAAACCACTAGTATGTTTAATAGAAAATGTCCTGGTAATTTCCCCAACTAAGTCCATATGGCACCCCCTCATCTTTCACACTTAGCTCTCTTATAAACAGATGCAGTTTCCATGGAGACATGGTGAGTCCCTCGCTGGGCACCATGGTTACTCTTATAGAGAGAAAAAAAACTGATTGGTTGCGAGCCATAGATAGTTGGGGTGCTGCACCCGTGGGTGGAAGCAGACTGGGGGGGGTATATTCCAGGTTTGAACAGCGTTTTTAAATCAACACCGAGCCAGACGCACGCCTCCCGCCATCTCTTTCACATGTAGACACATCGAGTGACTCACATGTAGTCTCACCCACTTAGTCAACTGGTACGTTAGTCATTTTAAGTCCTATAGTCATAATTAGGCGTTTTGTAGTTTGCATCGTTCCTGCCTCCGTGCAGCAAATGTAAATATAGGTGAGAGATCAAAGCTGAGGTATTTGCAGGGTGTGTACTTGTGTAATGGCCAAACAAAGTGATCTCCTGAGATGTCTGTACAAATTCCACCAAAACAAAGGAAACAGAGGCCCAACAATCAGGAGGCTAAGATTTATAATCAGTGTGCTTTAGCAAAAACGCAGAGCACCGTGTTTTAGGGAACTCTTTATTGTTAGGTCTCTGTAATGGTTGAATAAATGCAAAAAAAACTCCATGCACCTCGTGGGTGAAGTTACCCTCTGTTTCAAATAGTTAAAATCCAGCATATAACATCTGTGCTGCAAAGAAACCGAGTCATGCATGAAAAAATGTATAAATAAATTTGACATAAATATAATTTCTTCTACCCTACCAATCATTGTCTTATACAGTAAACTTCAACACTTATTGTCATATCAAAAATCATAACGTTTTCTGATTTTTATACGGTCGAAATGAAGGTTAAAGGTGTAAAAGTCAGACTTAGACGTCTACTACTGTTAAAGTATTTTGCAGAAGAGCATGGTCACTGTATTGCTTATTATGGAAAAATATAACAACAGTGCATGAAAAAACCTAAGATGGATGTATACAATATTTTTTATTTGATGTTGTTTTTACTTACATTGGTGCTTAAGGACTCACCTATTCCCATTTCTACAAGAGTGCTTGTTGGCTGCCTGTGTCTTATAGGATCATGTTCAAAATTCTCCTTATGTCTTTCAGAGCCTTACATGATCAGGCTCCTTCTTACATCAGTGATCTGATCCAGTATTATGCCCCATGCTGGGGCTCTGAGGCCTGTGGATCAGAATCTGTTGAAGGATCCACACTCTCGTTATCAGACTAGAGGTGACCATTCCTTTCAGGTTGTTGCTCCCAGGCTTTGGAAGGATCTTTTGCAAGCATTGCGCTTTATTGTGTCTGTTGTCACCTTCAACAGCTCGCCTAAGACCCATTTATTTGTACAGGCTTTTAATTAACTACCTTTTGGGGTGCAATGATTTTCTATTGTCTTGGCCTTTTATATTGTGTATTCTCTGGTGTTTTTAAACTGTGTTTTGAAGCACTTTGTGGCTTTGGTCTGTGAAAGGTGAAATATAAATAATGCTTACTTACTTACTTACTTACTTACTTAAAAAATAACCCTGCAAACTTACATTAGGGCTGATTGGTTTAGCCAAAAATACAAATTGTGATATTTTTAACCAATATTGTGATTTTATTGCGATAATACTTTTCACTAAGCACAGCCATGTCGACGTTTTACTCCAGGGTTTCAGTTTTTCCATGACCTTGGAGGCCGCCTTGTCCAGAATCCAGTAATGTATAGATCTAGGTGCCAGCTGCAACTCTCTTTTCCATTTTATGCAACATCATACCCACTTTACTGCCACCTAAGGGAGGAATTTAGTGTCTTGTTAAATGTATTGTGACTAAAATTCAGTTCCTCTGCATTTTGAAAGTCGCATTTTTCTAAATTGGGATTAATTGCCATTAATTGCCCAGCCCTAACTTACATTAGTTGGCCTGGAAGTGGTACAGAGTATCACAAGGGATTTTAGTAAGTGAATCATGTGCAAGTATAACATCAAAACCTGCACAAATACACAAAAAAGCTATTTGAATAGCTGCTATAGTGGCCATTTTGCAGAAAAACAGAATATAGAGTAATGCAGGTTGTGTTTTTTCAGGGTAGTAATGGGTTGTTGTGATCATAGGTAGGGATGTCTGGTCATGGCAGCACTGGTAATTACATTTAAGGACTAAACTTTATTGTGTTAACCCTAAATGGCCTGAGCAGTGTGTGCGCTGAAGAAAAGAGAAAAAACACATGAGGTGTTGTACAACTGCGTGTAGGTGGATGTGTTTGTCTGCATGTGTGGGATGATATAAGAGTGGATGTCCACAGGCCTAACATGTGCCTGTTTCACTTTCCCGATGTATTCAGTAGATTCAGTGTGCACAGTGCCACTTACCTGCCATATGACAAAGAAGATGAGCCCGGCGCACAGTACCAGGGTGAGCATGTAGCAGAAGGCCGCGAAGGTGAACGCCATGGCTGCACCAGCCAGCCTGATGACCGGTGAAAAGGAAGTAGAACTTCCTGCCTGCTCTAATAATATCGATTTTAAGCTACTGGTAGCTTCCCCTCCCTCTTCTACCTGAGTAGGGCTTATTGTCGGTTTCCACTTCAGGTGCAAGCAGACTCTATACAGTCCTGGTAGGTAGAGCAATCACTTAAAGTAACAATCAATAGTGAGCTCGAGCTGCAGCTGTGCTGCTTCCACTATTTGTCTCCTTTTGTGAAGCTGACAGCAAAACGTCAGTCGTCTCGCTGGGGTAAGGGAAGCTCTGAGGAAATATGTTCTCGGCCAGTTGTCTGTTGTTGTGCCCCCAGTGCTCCTCTTTTTCAATCTCTGACAGGCAAAATGTCTGTCTCCTCCTCCCCAAAGGAGTTTCTCCTGAGACGAAACCCACACATTTGTCTCTGAAGGTAAGAGTGTCTGATGGACACGCTGAGAGCAGAAGCACAGGATTCTTGTTGATATTAAGAGCAGTAAAAAAACAAGATACCAACAGGAATATTGTCTAGGATGGTTATGGCTTTATGTTAGCTTAGTAGTTAGGTTTATGGCTTACAGTTTAGTCTAAAACATCATTAATGGCATGTTAATTCAGCTTACATGTAACACCTTTGTAGACATCTATAGTTGGTACCCAGTCTATTTCATAAATAAGCTGTTGAACTTTTATTATTCTTAACTTAAATTGAACATATTGCTTTAATAACTAAATAGGCTCACTGTGAAAACCCAGATTCACTGTTGATTGAGTGATTTACCAAAGCAAGATCGAGACAGCACAGATAAGTTTGGAATTACGAAAATGTAAGACTTTGAGGATCAACAAATGCACGATCTAAGGATGGATGGATGTCTTAACTGACCTTAACATCAAGTAGAGAATACCTGTGTCTGGTAGGAGTCGTGTTTGCCTCTGAACAGTCCACTCTGCCCTTGTTTCTATCAGTTTGGGTTGGCACCATGTCAGTACTGTCTGCCCTATATCTACGCCTCAGATGCATTCCTCAGATTTCTCCCGTCAAAGAAGAGTCTTCAAAGCAGATCTTCTCCAATGTGCCAGAAAATGTTTCACTTCTGACAGGGAAAAAAAAAAAAAAAAACAATTAAAAAGTAGGGGAAGATGGGGAGAAATTTAACCAGAACCCATGTTCATAGTACGCAGTTATGCTGATTTTGAAAACACTCCTGTTGAGAAGTAAGACATGTCCAAATCCCTCAGAAGTCATGACTTATTGATACCAGTCTCTGTTCGCATCTCCCTGTTTGTGCTGTCTCTCTACCTGAAGCCGCTCTCTCTCAAACCCCCTTCCAGAGATTTTGAGTGCATTTCCTGAGTCTGCCGCCTGTGGCTGTCTCTTTCCTCTATTTCTTAGACTGCGAGAGAAAAATTTCAACCACGGTTGGTGTTATAAAAGTCAGCCAATAGCGTTGCTCCGTCTCTCCCCCGCTCTCCTGTTTTCTCTCTCCTCCTCTCTGTCAGTGTCCCTCTCTCTTGCATTTTTATATTTCTATAAACCCCTGCTCCCCAGAGACCGATGAGGGGGCAGGGCAAGCTGGAGATGTCTGCCTCCCTCTCCCTCCTCACCAAAACCTTCAGTCATCCATCATACCATGAAATCTAAGCCTGGCTCTGAGAAGGTGTTGCTTTCTGTTACCTGTCATTTCCTGCCTCCGCACCATTTGCATTCAGTAAATTGCTCTATTTTACTTTGTCTGCTTCTAATTCCCTTCTGTCTCAGCCTTGTGATAAAGTGATTTCAGAAACCACTGGTGTCATTCAATGCAAAGTGATGGCACATACTATTTAGAAATAAAATCTGCTCTCTGGATCTGAGTTTACAAATTTTTTCAAAATTGTGAAGACATGACCAGAGATGGATCGTTTAGTTTTCTTTTGTTTTGTCAGACCCATGTAAGATGGCTGTAGTTGCATAGTTTTTAATTATGTTCACAGTTTGCATCAGTTTAAAAAAAATATATATATGATCAGATGTGACCAACACTGAATTGTTTCCTTAAATGATAAAAAATTATGTGTAATAGAAAATTAACACTACTCTTCACCCAGAACTCACTATTTCTATGTTTAAAGATGCTTTTCTTTTTTAAGTAGGGTGGGGGAAGTTAGTCATAGCTGATGGATGCAGGTAAACAAGAGGCAATCAAGGAAACAATTACATTTGATTTCAGACCGTGATGGACTCTCAACGTACTGTCAGAGTTTCATTGGAAATACCTCGGTCAAAGTAAAATTTCCAATGTCAAATTTAACACCTAAACTCGACTTGGCTTTGTTCTTCTCTGCTTTTCAACATAATCAATTATGTCATGCTAATCACAATTTTTTTTTATATAAAATAAATCTAAGTTGAATAGATGTGAGGGCTGCACAGTAACAAGGTTCCGGGTTCGATTCTCGGCCCGACGTCTTTCTGCAGGGAGTTTGCATGTTCTCCCCGAGCATGGGTTCTCTCCAGGTACTTCAGCTTCCTCCGACAGTCTAAAAACATGACTGTTGGTTAACGGGCTTCTCTAAATTCTCCTTAGGTGTGAGTGTGTGCATGAAAGGTTGTTTGTCCTGTTTGTCTCTGTGATGCCGTGGTAGACTGGAGACCTGTCCAGGGTGAACCCTGCCTCTTGCCCATTGACAGCTGGAGATAGGCACCAGCACCCCTCGCGAGAATATAAACCCTACTGAAAGTGTTCGGGTTGAGTAGTTGTAGGTCCATCAGCCACCACCCTTAGAGTGTCCCCACCAACTTTTATCGCAAAGTTGCACCCTTGGATTGCTGCCCTTCCTTCCCTTTTTCTATCCACTGTTAATGTTTCATCTGATTCATCATTACATTTCTATTTTTTCATTTTATTTTATTTCTATTAACTGAGGTTTGTGAAATATTTTTTTATCATTGTGTATATTTTATTATGTAAATGGAGGAAGAAAAATAGAATCAGCTTCAGGAAACTGCCCCAAAAGAATTTGCAGCACATAGGAATTGGTTAGACTGATATCAAAATAATCTGAACCAGCCATAACAACTCTGCAACAGTTAATCTCTAGTGGTTACTTAATAGCATAAGCTGAGACATGATATGACACTATAAGATATTTTCCCCACTTTAATTTAAGAGAAGATGTCCTTTAAGATATTGATGAGAATATTTGGCTCAAAACACGAGGTCAGACAACAGGAGGTGTTAGTTTTTCCCTTGCAAGGCTTTCCTAGTTCCTTTTTTACATATTTTTTCTATTTTCTTCTTTGTTCTATGCAGTGCTGTCTTCCCTGTCTATATCTCGGTGGCCTGTCCTATCAGAATATTTACAAACAATAAAAATGCAAATCTAAATCTACTCCAGTCTCTTGCCATCGATCTCCCACATACACTAAGATGTACCTCATATTTACAATTGTAATCAAAGCCTTAGCCATAGTTTACATACTGTAAAAAACATCTCTCCAGAATACACTGCCAAGATGAATAAGCAATTGCTCTGTGTGATTTGTAATCCAGGAATACTTGTCATTCTGAAGTCACTGATAAATTAATATATATATTTAACTTAGAGATGCCTTCAAAGATGAGACTGGCTTTTGCAGGTAATCCAAGGTTTATGATTTGTTTTGAGAGGCGCATGGAAACATTTCAAGGATGACTTACTAAAGTAACTGTAATAAAGTTGCTATTTTTGTTTTCATCTCATCTTTGAGATGAGATTCATTTTATTTTTTTTACCAGCAGCCCAGTCAGGCCTTTTTTTTACTTATTCTTTTTTACATGGTTTTAATTCCTTTCCTGTTTCCAAAGTGCTTATGCAAAATGTAAGACTGTTATAAAATGAATACTTTTTGCAACATAGTTTCCTTCAAGAGAAGGAAAGCCAGACTTGTACTTTCTACTAAATCTGGCAATATGTAAAATGTATTAGATAGAGTACACTTAACTCAATCCAGATACATTTGCATGTTGGTTCAGGCAACCTCTAAATTTCTCTAAGGAATGATTAAGTGTTTACATTGTATTTTGTTTTGCCCTATGATGAATGATCTGTTCACAGTGTCGTATTATCATCCAGAATTGTAGAAAAATGTTCCTTTTATTGGCTAGCGCAGTAAAGCATCTTTCCTTTACATTTTTTCCAGCATTACTTTTACTTTTATACTTTTAATACTTTTAAAAATTGTATTTTTACACTTTCTAACTCTACTTGAGTAATAAATATCAATAGTATTGACACCCCTGGTTACTAGTAGTTTAAAGCTGTTTCGATTAGATACAAATTATTTTTAGTCACCTACGGTTTTAGCCCAGAAGCTAATCACCATCATTGTTACTGTATGTCATTTAAGATGGAAAAAACCTACGAAATTAAGGCTATAAAATTTTTGATGAACTAGTACGAACTACTTACATTTACTCAGTTACATTTACTTGATTAACAGTTTAAAAAAAATTATTCTTTTAAATAAAGCTTGACTGTACTGTAACTAAGTAATATTGCTATAAAATATTATTACTCCTAACTGATTACAATTTCTGGCTTTTTTGCTTAATCAGAGTAACTTGAGCTATTTTGAGATCAGGTGAAAATACAGAAAACAGTAGATATTTTCAGTAGAAGTAAATTACGCCATCCCCACACATAAACAGTTCTTACTGTACATGTTGGGTTAGTTTGGAAGATTATTCTTAAAAGAAAAGGATTTGGAAGCGTATTTCTATGTTGTTCATTTGTAATTTTCCAATCCTGTCATTTATTTGTATTTGTATTTTTTTTTTTAAGCTGCATTATTTCTAAACATTAAATCAAATCTTATGATCCGACAACCACTCAGTACGTAAATAGTCTGTTTACCAAATACATTTTTCACTCGCTTGAGGATAAGTTTTTGGGAACCCTACCCACCTCTGATGAACTTACAAGCTGATGGCAGGTATTTTAAAATGGAGCCTATGCGGAAGTTCAACTGAAGAAACTGATTGCTCGCCTGCATCCACCTGCGACACAGCCAATCAGCTTTGAACCACACCTCCACGAAGGCCAATCAGCATCCAAAATCTTAAAAGGCCTCCGATCCGCTCCTGTCTGCTCCTGTGCACGGGCGGTGGTTGCGCTGTTCATTCAGATGTCCCCGTTTCAACCCACCTCCAGCCCCTCCTCCACCATCATAGCTAAAGCTTCATCAGAGTGTCATTCCTCCTGGAATCTCACTGCATTCCCTGTCTCATCTTAACCGTTCTGGCATAAGACCGCCATGTTGAGCCTGGTTCTGCCAGAGGTTTCTTCCCAACAGTGAGTTTTCCTCTCCACTGTCGCTTCATACTTGCTCATCATGGACAGGTTCTCTCAACCTGTGTTATCTAACTGGAATTCCATCTTCCAGGTCCCTGAGTGAAGCTCTAGTATCA